TCCAGAACACAATCTTCTTAGCAATATTCGTATGGGACTGCAAGAGAGAAGAGGTGTTTACTCTCTGCATTACCACTTTTCAAATTAAGTTTCTTTTTTGTAGGAAGGGAAGCCTGAGCTTATGTACCATCGCAAACTTGACTCCGAACGCGTCGAAAGTGAAGGGTACATCTACGAGGTGATGGGCAAATATGCGGCGCCACAACTGATGAGAAAGTGGATGAGGATGACAGTGGTATGTAGCCAACATGACTATTTGACAATATATTCATTTTATTCGTTAGAAATTCTACATGTTCCACTTTCATTTCAGCTTGTTATATTTATTCTCTGGTTTTGCTGCTCGCTTTGCATATTCCCTTTCTTGAATCCAGGTTTTGACCAGAAAGTAGCAGTTCCCGAGGTATTGAATTATTAACGATTATTTCCAATTCGGGTTCACGAAGACCAAAAATGCTTTTAGGATTCATATGTTTACTTACATTTCAAGAATCTGGATCGCTTGATGAATGTTGGTCCTCCGGTCTATTTTGTTGTGGAGGGAGAACTTGACATGCATACAAAGCAAATACAGGCAAGTTTTTAACTACTTCACAAAGTGTATGATATTGTTTCACACGTTTTACATCAATATTTTCTTCACTAAAATGAAACACGCAGGAATTTTTAGGACAAATTCTGCACTATCGGTGGTTGTGCCGAGAATTCTGTGGGCGCAATACTTAACGAAGCAGCAGCGCATTCTAATAGGTAGACCTGATTCCTGAATGTTTTACTATTACGAATTCCCACATATTCCGAATTCGATTAAGGACGTACATCAAGGGAACCGTGTTAAACTGGGTAGACAATATGATTCAATGGTTGAATAAGGAAAGCGATTGTTGCAAAGTGTACAACTACGACAAAAACGTGTTCTGCCCAAGTAGTAGGAAGGACTGTGAGTTCAAATCAAAGTAAACGATTCGTGGTTGCTATGAAATCACGTTTAGCTTATAATTGTTCGAGCTGTGATCCCAACCAGAGAAATGGCCGTCCTACGGAAGAACCATTCTATAAGCACTTGAAGGACTTTATGAATGATGTGCCTAACGCTAACTGCATTGTTGGGTAGGAAGAGTTCGAAGGCATCTTTCCTTTGCTTGCCTTATGTTAATTGCATTCTATTTAGCGGAAGAGCTGCCTTCAAGGACGCCATTTTTCTCAACCCACGCGGTCATGTGCAGGCATCACACTTCATGACGTACCATACGCCGCTTCGCACGTCACGAGAGTTTATATGTAATATTACAGCTTCTTGCAATTACCGACTTTTTTTTACCTCAAACCTATTGTTATTTCCTTCTGCTATCTTTCATGCCTATTTCCAGTGGCAATGGAGGGCGCCAGAAAAGTTGCACGAAAAATCGAGCAGTCATTTGATGGAAAAGTACATGTATTCCCGTACAGGTTTGTTCATTTCGGGGGTATGCCAAGATGAACGATAGCTGCCAAAAAGCTGAAGTGCACGCTACGTAAATGTGTGTCAATAACCTATACACCTAATATCTGACGGGAATATCATGGTGAATGCATTGCGTAGTTTCCAGGTCGAATGTCCATTTTTCTTGACTAATTTTTGAGTAACTAAGTAAGCAGAAAAACTTATCATGCAAAACGAAAGACTCAGCATACCATTTAACATTTATATAAATTTCGGCAAATTCAGAAATCTTGAAACATTTAGTAAAGCAAATCGAGTCGATCATGACGTGCTCAGTCGAAGCTTAACGCTTGCCTTTGCGTAGCGTGCGC